GGTGAGTCTCGTGAAAACCAATGTTTGTTAACAGGAGCAAAGGAAGCAAAGTTTCCTTACTTTAGCAAAGGAAAACCATTCTCCTCATGGCTTATATCAAAATCCTCCGACATTCTTCTTGACAAATCCTCGTTTTGTACTTCTAATTAGTGACCGTTGTTTTGTTTTGATCTCTCCTCTGCGCTTCCGCGTGCATCACTTCTGAGCGGCGCATGCGCAAAGCTGACCTCATACGTCATCTGCCCGGAACTGCTTCCGTGTACAACAGTGAGCGCAAGCTACATTAAAGTGATTATTATGTTTTGAATATGAATATGAATATTTTTCTTTTTTTTGCAATTTCTATAAATTGCATTTCTTTTTAATTCTTGCCAGTGTTTAACCATTCAGCGCTCACGCACTCTCCTGGAGACTGAGCACTCATGCACACTCACAGCGCACACACATAATGCCAGGTTCACAATCACATTACTCCGTTTGCAGTGCTATTTTTTCCGCGCTCATGTTAACAGATTAAAGCGTTCACTGCACACGGTTGCGGTCCGGCAGTGCGTGTGAAAGCACAGTCTGTGCTGCTTCCCCTCTCACAAGAGTCACCTAAGAGAGGAATTCACCACATTTTCAAAAATGAAATTCAGGCCCTGAATAAATGTCTAAAAATCCTGATTGGAGTATCACCCTTTACAGTTCCGAATGATAATTCTGCCGGTAATTCTGATAAGCTGTCGGACAAGGGCCGGGGCCTGAGCGTCTCGGGCCTGGGCCGGGCTAGGGCCTAAATTTGAGGTCCGTGCAGGGCTCTGCCGCCTTTGTCTTGTCCACTTTTGTCTTCTCTTCCAAATTAACTGAATCATGACGTTCACTCATGGGCGATTCATATTCAAGCGCGAATGAGAACCGTTTTGCGGGGGATGCCAGGTGTTCGGAAAAAAAGAAAAGAATATTCGAATCTCAAAATTGAAAATCGAATGCCAATCCACTGAACGAATATTCGAATAATCGAATATTCTGGTCCAGCCCTACAAAAAATATACATTAACTTTATAGTTTCACTTCTATACATTTAGCTGACTAAAAAAATAAATGTTCATAAAGGTTTCTTCAGAGACACTGAACTAGATAATCCACATAAGGTTTGCAAAGTAAATAATAAGCAGAGAATCTAGATGGTCCAGTTTGAGCAGTTTATTTTGATTTAATGTGATCTTATAATGAAAGCACATCTGTTTTTGTTTCATTTTAGGTTGGGCTCTTTATATTTGTTTGTTTGACCTCGCCCTATTTTCACAAAAACACTGCACTGTATGTGCATAGTATTGTGACAGTTCGGTTACTCCAGTTTTAGGAGTATTTGTTGGCATGCTTTTTATTTATCCAAAGCATTAGGCAATATTGCACACACAACAGTGTAATTGAAGGTTATTTTTGCAGTAGTATATTAATGTATGTACAGTATACTATTAAGGGCTTTGGAAATAAATGGCCAAATGCAGGAACATGTCATTTTCATTTTAGAGTTGTTTGCATGACTTTGCATACAGCAGGTACAGTATTAGATTTGCATTGACGGTTTTCTCTGTAATTCACCTCTCTGCCTGCAGGGGCGCTGTTGACTGCTGAACATGTGAAGGGCAGTGTCAATCTCTCTGTGGAGGAGGGCAAAGACACCATGCTCCATGTCTCTGAGTAAGTATATTGCCTTGGATACATATTTATATGCATATACATTCTGTCTTATTTCCCATTGCTGCTATTCTGTCTCTCTTTCAGTCAGGTGCAGTTCAGTGACGTCAACTCCATCACGCGTTATCTTGCACGAGTGGCTCCAGCGTTGGGACTCTATGGTTCTAACATGATGGAGCAAACTGAGGTTAGATTTGGGAATCATATACTGTGTTTTCACTGGCTGTCTATAACAAATGACAACAATTTTATTGGTTTATGTTGACGACTTGCAGGTTGATCATTGGCTGGAGTTCAGTGCCCGTCGTCTCTGTGCTCAGTCAGATCTCTCTTCTGCTATGGGGGATCTGGATAAAGCTCTGGCACTGAGAACCTTCCTGGTGGGTCACAGTGTGGCTAACACCTTTTGCTACAGGTCATTTTGGAGGATGTGGCTATGCTACACATCAAACCGGACCAGTTCACCTACACAAGCGATCACTTTCCCGCAATCCTGCGCATGGGAGAGAAACTTCTACAGGAGGGCAAGGCCTACATAGATGACACTCCTCCAGATGTCATGAAACAAGAAAGAGAGCAAAGGGTCGAGTCTCGCAACCGGAACAACTGTGAGCATCACCAGTACTGATCTTATTACTTGTCTTCGTCGCAGGAAATGTGATTTGTTCTGAACATGTTGCCTATCTTAATAACAGCTGTGGAGAAGAACATGCAGATGTGGGAGGAGATGAAGAAAGGCACAGAGTTTGGCCAGACCTGCTGCATGAGAGCAAAGATCGACATGAATTCCAACAACGGCTGCCTGCGTGACCCCACACTCTTCCGCTGTAAGAACGCTCCTCATCCTCGCACCGGCAGCACTTACAAGTGAGTGAATATCACACATGTGGCGTGCTACAGAATGTTGCCAATGATAGCTTCCTCTAACCGATGTTCCTCTTGTTTTTCACTTCCTCCATCCAGAGTTTATCCCACATACGATTTTGCGTGCCCCATTGTGGACAGTGTTGAGGGGGTGACGCATGCTTTGCGTACCACTGAGTACCACGACAGAGACGAGCAGTTCTACTGGGTAATAGATGCCCTTGGTTTGCGTAAACCATACATCTGGGAGTACGCCCGACTCAATCTTAACAACACTGTGCTCTCCAAGAGGAAGCTCACTTGGTTTGTCGACCAGGGCTATGTGGATGGCTGGTTTGTATCCCCCTCGCTGTATTGACTTTATAGAAAAGAGCTCTTTTGGATTATATGGTTAAACTTCTCTCTCCTTATCTTTCCTTCCTGCAGGGATGACCCTCGTTTCCCAACAGTCAGAGGTGTGCTACGTAGAGGAATGACTGTTGAGGGACTCAAACAATTTATTGCTGCTCAGGTATGAGTTTTTTTCACGTTTAGAACGACTTTTGGGAAAGAATTAAAAATCCTTATGCAACAAGGTTGTGTTATACACTGGTTTTACCGTAGTAAGGGCTGTTCTTTGGCATGGCACTAGTGAATAAATCACACATTTTATAAACAGTACTGACAGCAATTTTGTGTTACCATAAACCGTTATGTTTAACCATTTTAATTAATTAATTATTATTATAAAAAAAATGCAAATTTTTCTGCTGTGTAAATTAGTCAGTCTTTTAATTTTTAATTTTTTTAATTAGCGCTGTGTGATTAATCGAAATCGTCATAAAATCGCGATTTGAGCTTGCGCGATTTCTAAATCGCTTTATAGCACGATTTTCCGCGCCCCCGACCTCCCGCAGTATGCTATCCGATCCTATCAGAATGCAGCGCGCCTAAATGGAGCACGAGAACAGAACAGACCGAGCGGGCATACAAACGTAACGCCAGGTTCACACACTCCGTCTGTGGTGCATATTTTTTCCGTGCCCATGTTAACAGATCAGAGCGTTCACACTGCATGCGATTACCTCTGCGTCTGGGCTGCTCTCAAAGGTCAGTCATTTGGGTTTAAGATAAATTAGAAGAAGTTTTATAAATAAATAGTTCTCAAAAGTCAGTTTGGTGCTTCATCCACAGGAATTGGTGAGTCACAGGCCAAGCCAAACTCCTACCCTCATCTGTGCCGCTGGTTTTCGTTCCTGAGCTCTCAGGTGCCGTTCACTTCAGTGGGCAGTAAATGGGCTAGCAAGATCTCTGCCATCAAAGCCACTGTGAGTATATTACCCACTGTAAATATGGTTGGCTATCTGACAGGCTATTGCGCATTTATGTGTTCTGTTGGAGGAAAAAAGTTTGACATTTATTTTTAGAGTTCAAATTAAAGTAAATCTGGCAAAATGTTGAACATTGAACATACCGTATGTTAATGAAGTTGTTAATTAGTCCCAAACTATGTTCTTAGCCTGTGGAGAAGGAAAAAAAGCAGGATTTGGGAAAGTTTGTGGAGCTCCCTGGTGCTGAGATGGGAAAAGTAGTGGTGCGTTTCCCTCCTGAGGCTAGTGGGTAAGTAGCGTTGTCTATACAATAAAGGTCAGTCACAATATACATAGTCTCTTATGTTCACCAAGGCTGCATTTATTTGGTCCAGAATGAAGTAATTTAAAGAATTTATCTTTACAACTCCTCAGATACCTGCACATCGGTCATGCCAAGGCAGCTCTACTCAACCAGCACTACCAGCTCAATTTCAAGGGCAAGCTCATCATGCGCTTTGATGATACCAATCCTGAGAAGGAGAAAGAGGACTTTGAGAAGGTATGCTATTTTGCCCCCTTTCATACAGAATTATGGTCTCTGTCCTCTATAAGTGACCCATTACCTCTATTAAAAAAAAAAAGCTAGGGGTTTCCTTTCACTAATTGTGACCGAAAACCATATTTTAACCAGCATCTCTGGGATAAGCACCAAGCCTCAATACATGTCTACAACATGCACAGTATCCAAATATCCTTTGGCCAAGCCAGGGGTAGGCAAGTTCGGTCCTAGAGAGCCGCAGTCCTGCAGAGTTCAGCTCCAACCCTGAAAAAAAAACTCACCTGCCTATAGCCTTAGTAATCCTGAAGACATTGATTAGCTTGTTCAGGTGTGTTTGATTAGGGTTGGAGCTGAACTCTG